GGAAATCTGCGCGGTCCCATACAAATATTGTAGAGTTAAGATGTCCGCTACCATACTTCAATGAACATTTTTGGTGGTGTATTGGGTGAGTGTGGGGTCAGTATGTTGTGTTTACTACATACTTCTCTGAGTGGTTTACATATATATATGTTGCACGGTTGTATATTCCTTAATTTGTTGTATCAGAATTAGAAGCACATATCATTTATGGGAGGGCTTTAGGCCTCTTAGCTATAAATAAATGTTCCTTCTTGTTCGCGTAAATCAACGACTCGTTGGAAGTGAGCAACACGCGGTGAGGCGTGTTAATCGATTTAAGTCTTCCTCAGTAAGTGCGTATACACTGACGGGTAACTCCCATCACAAATCCTGCGTAAGTATTCGATACACATCTGGTGCAGTTACTATTTTCTTGAAAAGCAGAACCAAATAGACACCTAGATTATCTAAAGGTGCTTGGTTCCACTTCTGGTACAGCACACGAGCCCAAACTCTGTGCATTTGTAAGCGCAGACTCGTGAAGCTCAAGCCATCTCTATGCGAAGTAAGAAGAAACTGCTGCAAAAAATCTCTCGAAGCAAGGAAAAAATTAGTAGCTATAAGTCGCACCAGTGGTCTCTACATAGTGTAACAATCCAATATGGGTAACTTCGTTGAGAGATCTACTCGTAATAGTGAAACCATAACTTCCTCGACAAGAGACTGTAAAGCTTTCGCTACAATTGAAATACAAAGGAGCGAAAATCTAAAACTCGTAAGCGATTCCACAATAATGGAATGGATTGGTACTGTAGAAGGACGCAATAGTGTGCGTAAACGAGCCTATCCAAATGAAAGTCGTTATTATGCGGAGAACTGCTCAGTCGCTGAGAAGAGAACGGCAGACTTTTCACTATTTCTATGAAAAGCAATACACTAAAATGCAAATCCATCACTGGAATCATTATGAAAGAATGCCCAGATATTTGTTTAACCAATTTTATGTGCATCTAGCTAGCACAGAGAAGCTAGACTACGACAGTTTCAGGATATGATGGCGCTGTGCTTTAGTATTGGTATCCCTCGTATTCTATTGTTCGCCTGTCTCATCCGTTTTGTCGTTGTAAGTATTCGTCGCTATGCGTGTGCCGTTGTAAGAGCATCGCTAGCGGTTGGTCGAATTCTCAGAGGAGGATATATAGCCTTTACATTAGAAGGCGACCGAAACCTTATATTATATACACACCAAACTGATTAATGTCTGTAGCACCAATCGCTTTCTTGTAAAGTATTATATTCGACTTTATAGTAAATTATCAAAAGCTAGACTAACTTAGCCACACACATCAATTTTACGTTGCTTCATTTAGTATCTTGATATAACTTGCGACATTCCCGCAATCAATCGAGATGAGTGGGGATTGTGATTATATCATCTATTTGTATGGCCTTAAATACATAAAAGGCCGACAGTTTCTGGCGACATATTTAAATGCAAATTCGCACTTCAATTGTCCCCGTATTCAGCCCCAAGATTTGCCGTCAAATTCTTCAGCGTAAAGGCTAAGCTCTTCTACTGTTTCTTTTTCGAATGTTGGTGTCGCCAAATCGGTGTCGTTGATTGACAGTGTTTCGTTGTGAAAGCAAGTGGTGATGTGCAAAATGATAAAGTTTATTGTTACAAAAGCAAAAACTATTTTTGTGGGTGTAGCTTGCATTAACCAGACGGCTAAATGGTCCATGGAAAATTGTACATTTAGATGCCACTAGATTCCAAGACTCGGCACAACTTATTATTCATATAATAGAAACTGTTGTTGTATTTTGTACCATTCCGACCTAGTGAGCGTGTTATGTCGGATACCCTTGGGCTAAGTCAGCCGATGGTACTGTTCACTGATTGCCCTAATCGCTGAGGACAACAGTCGCCGCTTATACATAGAAAGAGCCTTCTTTCCCATCATGATAAATGGTGCACACTTACCTATACCGTTCACATACAGAGATCAAATATGAGTCAATACTGCATCTTTTTGCTAGATTCAAAAACTATCCATTCCGGCATACACAACGTCAGTCACTTGCACAGAATGAAAGCAAATTCAGTTTGTTGTCGCAGTTTATTGTACGCAGAGTGGGACGTAGCTTATTAGCCTGTTACGTTTGCCATTTCAGTCTCCAACATTTTTAGAACTTGGCTCCTTATCCACATGAATTCAGCAAAAATTGCACCAATAGACGGACACCATATATCGAACGGATGCCCAGCTTGAACCGTTATCTCAATCTGTTGCATTTTCCAATGGGTGTCCTTCCTCGATCGCAATCAGAGGAACTGGAGATAAGCTGATCTCGAAGCTAACAACAGCTCACTTTCGAGTTAGCCACCAACTGTGCACTCCATTGCCCAGTCCCTTAAAGCATCCGGCTACTACTGTCGACAAATCGCAAACTAAAGCCCGGATACCATGAAGGCAGTCACCTTTCTGCAAGCTGTTGGTGTTGCCGTCGCAATTTTACGCACGGAAGCGTCAATTCTTGATCCTGTTGTCGGAGAAGACTTCATTCAGAATACCCTCCAGGGTGCTACCGAGAAATTGGTCGGCGATCTCGACCCTATCATATCAGATGAAAGCCCCGCTGTTCAGCAAGATATCTCCAGCGGTGGTTACTTTGCTCCATTTGGAACTGAAGGACTTTCAAAAGAACTCTTCGTTCACAACGACAGTCTCAAAGACATTGTACCGATTCTCAACGTTGCGAAGAAAGCGCTAAACCAGGCTATCCCAACGAATGACTGGTGGTGCAATCTCATCCACGTCACGGATACCCTGAACGTATCCAATCACCCAGCATGGGCAAATCCATACGCCGTCAAGCTGCCACGCGAGGCGCCGTATGGACTTCAAATATTTTATTCTTACACG